CTGTCCTGTTCCTACACACTTGCCTCCATCCCCCGTCCACGGACTCACTCCCCACTCGCTCTCCCAGCGTCTTCCGTCACTAGTGTCGCCACAAAAGAGGGACACAGGGTTGTTGGTGATCAGGAAGTGAGGTGGGCAGGAGGGAGGAAAACAAATCCAGGACTTGGAAGCCACAAAGTGACCGCGGGACCCTGAAATGGGGGATGAGGGAAGTGAAGGTTCTCTCGCTCCCAGCGGGTCAAGGCCCAGGTTGCTCTTTGGGAGCAAAAGTCCAGTCAGAAGGCAGGGGCTGCTGGAGCCGATGCTGTCATTTCATGTAGCAACACCAGTTACGAACAGAAACAAAACACAAAGAAACGAAGAGACTGTTGAAAGTGAGGGCAGGGACGAAGATTAGCAAGTATTTTTTTTTTTTTTTTTTTTTTTTTTAAAGATTTTATTTATTTTTTTGACAGAGAGAAATCACAAGTAGGCAGAGAGGCAAGCAGAGAGAGAGGAGGAAGCAGGCTCTCTGCAGAGCAGAGAGTCCGATGTGGGGCTCGATCCCAGGACCCTGAGATCATGACCTGAGCTGAAGGCAGAGGCTTAACCCACTGAGCCACCCAGGCGCCCCAGCAAGTATTTTTTTTGTAACGAGAGTTGAACATTGGGATCCTCTGGGTATGTTTAGCCATTTGAGGTTTGGGGAAGAGGGTTTTTATATAACCACACGGGTTGTGAGTAAAGAAAACACTTGTGCTTCAGCAAATAAGAAGAGCTATCCTCTGGCAAAAGCTCCTCTGCATTACAAGAGCCTGCCTTCTTCACAGCTGTTACCCTCGCAGGACTTGATGCCAAGTCTTTAAGAACTGAACACTTTTTCCCGTGGATCCCAAATTTTACCGAGCATCAGCGACATGGAGGACTTGCTATGAATGCTGATTCCTGGAGCCCCCCTCGCCCGCCCCAGAAATTCTGATTCGGGGTTATGGGGTGAGATCGCAAGGTTATGGACAGCCCCAGGTGTGTGGTGCAGAGGGGCCCCTGGTTCATGCCTTGTGAAATGCTGGCTCTCCAAACTTCCCTAAGAATGTCACCTGGAGGACTTTTGTTTTTATAGAAAATACTTTTAATTCTTGCCCTTAAAAACTATAAATGATTTGGAAATGAGACTACCACACAATGGTCAAATAAGGATGGTCCATTCCATGCCCTCGTTTGGTCACTCAGAAATCAGCTAGGACTGTGGTTGCTGGTCACCTTCCGTCGTCTATCCGTGAGCTCACCATAGCCTACTTTCCCTTCCACATAAATTCCAGACCGTCCTTCATATACCAATAGGCCCATCTCCGATACCTGGCTGGAATAATGATATCTGTGCCATGTCGTCTTTTGACTGACATCACCTCCTTGGTACGCTTTAAAATTGCCTCAACGCTCCATCTCATCTGTTGCTGGAGAAAATACTGTGACTGGGTGTGTCTCTTCCACCTGTCATGACGGGGTCCTGACCCACCTGCCCCGGTAAATGCACACGATTCCCAGATGTTCCGAGAACCAAACTGCCAGCTGTCTCAGACTCACGTCTTAAAAACTGATCAAGTACCTGTAATACAGGTCTTTGAAAGGTGGCTTCTAGGTTTCCTTTCTTACGTTTAGTCTTTTCCTGACTCTCTAGCCCAGATAGCTAGAGCCACGTGATCACTCAAAGATGTAAAGATTCCTGGTTCCATCTTTAATAAACTCGGATTTACAAACAAGAGTCCCAGGTGATTCTCAAGAGGGAAGTTTGGACAATGTTTACAGAACTCCGTAGAGCATAATTTTGGATCCCACTCCCAGAGACTGTCATTCATTTGGTCAGAGAGAGTCAGGACAGATCCCCTGACTAAATTCCCCAGGGATGACAAAGAAACATCAGTGGCTTTTGTCAAACCTACAAATTAAGAGGAGTAAGGAAAGCTGAGGTGAACATATCCTATTTTTAAAAATCACATGAGAAGGGGCATCTGGCTGGCTCAGTCGGTGGAGCATGCAACACTTGATCCCAGGGTCGTGAGTTCAAGCCCCACGTCGAGCATAGAGATTTCTTTAAAAAAATCACATCAGATACTCTTTTCACAGGAACATAAAATTTAATGTTTTTGGCCAGCAATATGCTGAATTCCTAGTTAACAGAAATAAGTCTACTGTGGTTTTCATGTTCAGCATCTACAACAGGTTCAATGACTCGGAACTGAGAGTTACTCCCAAATGTGGAAGATGTTTTCAGGATCCCCACGGCCAGAGATTTTCTGGTCTCTTTGGTCAAAAAAAAATTTTTTTAAGTCTATGTACTGCATTTTGGTACCCCCAAGAAGATGGAAAACGATTCTTCTGGAATGAAATGACTGAAGCAAAAGCTCTTCAATGAATCTTTACATCTCTAGGCAGAGGACACATTCATAGCCAAGAGGTGCTTCTGAGAAATGATCTCGCTTCTCAGGGTCGGGACATGTCTTACAGGCGGCCCTGCAGGGAAGCCTATAGCTCAACAGTGTCAGAGCTCAGCGTCCTTCAGGAAAGCGTATGGAGCCACTTACTCGGAGAGAGGGGTTGAGTGGGTACAAATATAACAAAAGTCCGAGCACACAGGTAATGCCAAGCTGGCAAGAAAAGCTGAATTCAATTTTCAGTTTTAGGCAAGTGATAGCATTAATTTTAATACTGAGAGACTGGATGCAAATGGAGCCCCCATTGAAATTTTTAATGTTTCCTTCTAAACAAGGTGTGATCAGTATAGAGCAAGCACCTTTCTGACAGTGATGGAAGCCTGCAGAGTCAGCCTGTAACGAGGGTTCCTGGTCTAACAGCACCTCCCCTCAGCCGCAAAGGTGAATAAAGGCTTCAGTGAATACCGGAATGGGGCCTTCTGCTCGCAGAACTAAGGCTGAGTAGCTACCAAACACAAGGGTCAGATACGAACTGTATGAAAAGAGTAAATGTTCACCATCACGTTAGTAACCGTGAGTTCACTCGTATTCCCTCCAGGACCGCACTTAACAAATATCCTTAGAGGTTCAAATGAAAAAAGACAAGTGTGAATCATCATGGAGGAATTAGTAACATTTGAAGTCAAAGAAACTTTAGAAACTAATTCTGCATACAAAATAGATAATGGAAACATAAAATCCAGGGAATTCTACTGCTCTCCCTTTTTAATCAGCTTTACAGAATGGTACCATACATTAGTCGTCACATTGGAAGACAGGAATTTCCTATACATATACAAGATTGTGCAAGCTCATTAACTGAGGCTTATAGAAGGTTTTATCAGTTTCAAGGAGAGGCAGTCCGATGCTTTTTAATGGAGAAGCACAAGAATCTGTTAAGTAAGACAGAGTATCCACTTGGCAGGGTGAATTGGCCACTGCCCACGCTGTCTGCTGTTAACCCAGTAGAGAGGACTTCCTCCCTCTTGAGCTTAACCAGCTCCACGGTGACTCCACACCAACCATGACACTGAAGTAAACTGTTTTCCTTTCTCCGAGTGTTCTCAGGAGTAATAGAGCTATTCCTGGTCATCCTACTTCTTCGGTAACCTACATTCTAAAACATATTAAGTATTAATCTGGCAAAGTTCTCAAGCATTTTGGCATTCAAAATATCTCGAATATGTCATCACTGTTCATCTACTAAAAATTCTGTGAGCTTCAATAAGATTGTTTCTGATCCCCACCCACACCAAATTATGGCAATTACATACAGAATAAATCCACTAGACTTAAAAAGAACTAAAGACGGCAAATATAGACTTTTTCTTAAAGAAATAAAGGGGATATGGAGAGGCAGGAAGAGAAAGTCTGAGACACACATGAAGGAAGCTAACCCCACATTTCTATCATTTCTATGCAATCTACTAGTAATTTTGAACAAGTGTGGTCCGACTTCCCCTTTCCACACCCAATCACATCAGAGAAAGGAATCTTTAAAGCCTCCCCCATTTTAAAAATGGAGTTGACCTTGACTTGGCCCAAATTGGAATCCCCACGGCCCGTGACTCAACAGTGGTGCTGGACAGGCATACGCAGTCGGCTACGGGGTCTCGGCACAGCCTCGGTACCGTCCGGGGCGGTGTCTGTTCTCTTGCTCACGCACCTCGGCAAGACACAGACTGTAAGTCTGCAAAGGCTTCCAGGTCACAACAGGAAAAGCAAAACCATGCAATACGTCTATTTTCAATCCCTCACAAAGCCTAATTCTCTTACTACAGCGATTTAAAGTCTGTATAAAAAAGCTTCCATCAGCAGGTTTTTAAAGGAAAAATCAGAAGAAAGCAGTTACTGCGGCTGAGATGTGAACTGAAGTGGAGAAAGAAAACGAAACATTTACCAGGTTTAAAAAGAAAACAATTTCACAAGGAAAGACAATCTGTATTCCTATTACTGTTTTCCAAAAACGGAATAGTAACACACGAACTGTGTAAGATTTCAGTGAACTGAGCCACTCTCTCTCCATTTAACATTCATTATTGCTGCAAATTCCATGTAATAATCAGTGGCTACTGAATGTTTCCTGTGGGTGATTTTATACTTTTGCACAAATCCTTCATACAGGTCCTGGGAGGAAGTGTCGTAAGAACCAAAGAGCTACTGTTCTTCATTCCTGAAGGAGCGAAATCAAATCACTGCCTGTCTCAGGCCCTACCACTGCCAGGCTATTACCGATTCCTCAACTCAGAGATCAACACTGGGGTGAGTCATGCCCCATCACACCGGCAGCGGGGAATGCTGGTTTGTCCGTGCTCCCAATGGGGTTTCCAGAGGGAAACGTCACTGCCCCTTAAACAGCGGGGCTGCGCTGCCCGGCCAGCACCTGAAGCGAGACCCAAACCCCTGCCTGTCTGAGGTGTCGTCTGGCACCAGGTCTATGGGCTTCTACCCTCGCCACTGCTTCCGGCACCGCTTGGCCCTTACCTCTTGCCTCCAGCGCAACCCGACACCCAACTCACCGCCTTCTCCTCCCCAGAAAAGAGCCCTGTGCCACATCCACAGCTTCGCGTTTATTTCCATAGTGATAACACAGCAGAGGTGTAGCAACCATGTGGAGAAAAAAAAATCTCTAGGAAATCCCACAGTAATGCATTTCAACTATTCCAAGTCTTCTATCAACTTAACGTTTATTGAATCAAATGCTGAAGTAAATGGACTCCCCCTAGGTCTTAGAAACTGTGTCAGACTGTTTGTTTGTTTCATAAAGTAGTTATGATAGGATTTGACAATCTAATACCTAGGCAAGTTTGACGTCCACACAGAGTGCTTGGCCTAACATTCCAAAGGGCATTCTGTAGTACTAGTTGGAATTCTGATCTCTCCCTAGAGGGCAGAAACCACATCCCACACTCCTATGCAACTTGTTATTTTGGTATTTTTAAATAAATGAATGAGAAGAGGTGGAGGCATAAAGAAAATCTGGCTTCTTTAGGCACAATTAAACACAGAGGTCTTGGAGAGAAGTAGACAGCCTCTGTATTCATCTGCTCAAGGTTGTCTGTCACAGTTCCCTTAAAAATGCCTCGAAATGCTGCCCACAACAAGGGACTCAAAGTATGGGACCAGGTGTGTTATAAAAGCAGCTCCCCATGTTTAGGAAATGTACAAAGTGAAACCAGTCAGTCGTGACTTACGTACAAGACTTGTGCTTGAAGCTTTGGTGTGCCTCCATGGCCAATTTCTGACACCAAAACCCATTCCTGATTAGCAATATACAATCAAACCAAAATACAGAAACATAGACTTTTGTTCAGAAGAGGGAAATAAAAGGCACAGAAACCTGCCAAAATAGACTTTTTTCCATAAGAATAATATGGTTGGTTAAAATAGTTTATCACTAGTAAAACCTGTATCACTAGAGCAGACAATACAAATCAGTTTTTAAAAAAATGACATTCACTGAATTCCTGGTCTGTCATTCAATGTGAATAATCATCAAAAATATATTACAATTAAAGGTTTGAAAGGAGTTCAGTTTGGGGTTTCTACACTCTATCTAGTATTTCAGATAAGAAGTACCACAGTAACCTATTAGGTGTCTACTGTTCCTTCGTACGCAATGCATGGTGATTAAAGGGTCTACCTCCTTCCTCCTGCGGGCTCAAAGACGTCCGTGGTGAGGAATGTCTAAGTGATTGTTATGCCCTCATCAAAGGCAGTCTTGTGCATCAAACTCCACACCTAGAAAGTTCAAGAAACTGTTTTCCACTTTAATAAATATTTCTGTGTATTTGTTTGCTGCTTTTAAGCTCAGCTTAAACTTTGTCCAGGAAACCATTTCACAAGAGGGTACATCACAGCCTACTATCAGCAATACTCCTTGTTTATTAGAATCTGAAGATGTCCATATTACATCAAATATAAATATATATTATATTTACATTTCCTTCTTAGCTTTTCATCCCGGTGAGTGTATTTATAGATAAAGCCACTAATGTCACCACCATTATAATTCTCGGTGCAACTGGTATCTTCCTTCCATTAGATGCATGTAAGATTAGACAGCATCTAAAAAGAGGTGTACTGTTCTTTTTATTTTTTTAAATAAAAGGAAAGAATGGGTATCCATGAATGGAGATCTAGGAATTTTCTAGATTTTGTTCTGTTTTTTAATATTTCAAAATACCTGAAAAATGTGGTCCCTTTTTGCAGTACTAATTCTCTACTTGGGACAAGAAAATAACCAAATATGCAACAGAAAGGAAAAGAGCCCAAAGAAAAGAGAACCTGCTTGTTAGCTCATTAATCTGTTTAGTAAAGATCTGTTTTAAAATGTCTGAATGCTGTACAATATTATACAAAAACAATCTTCAGCCTTCAAAGCAGCTGGTACATTTTCTAAGAGATCTGTTTGCCCGCCTAACAGTCTGAAGCCTTGGTGGGCCTTGGTCTTGGTCACTTTCGGTCATCGATAGTTTTAATGAATTCCACTGCTGCTGTGAACTGCATCCACCAATAGGATTCCTCTCCAGACAGACAGCTGGCGTAAAAGCTACTGATATACTGGACAGTGGATAGCAAGCAGGGCGGATTTGCCTAGAGAAGTGAAAAATGAGAGCGTCAAATACTCAAGATGTACAGCTCTGCAAAAATCATCTAAGTGAACATCTTCAAATGTTTTTCTGTAAAAGAGATGCCAGTCCTTTTTGAAAATAATCCCCAAATTCTTCTTTGGAAGTGATTAAAAACCTAGCCACTAAGAGCAACACTGGAATACTAGAAAGGTAACTCAGGTTCAAATGCCAGCTGGGCTATCTAGAGCTTTCCAACCTTGTAAGTCACTGAAGCTTACTGGTCCCAAAGGAGGCTGAACTAATTCCAGCAGACTTACTCAACATCCCAGGATTCCAAAATGTTAGATAAGGAAAAAATGCTATATGCCAAGTGACTTCTAAGTCTGGGTAGAATCAGCCAAGAAAGAAAAAAAAACTAAAAAGATAATATACCCTCTGTTGCCAGAGGTAACACAGAACATCTCTCACTTTTCCACTGTCTTCATGTGAAAAGAACGGACACGGGTGTTTTAAGTGGCTGGGAGAAGGTAAGGCCTGTGCCTCAGAACACGCTCCAAGGGGCCCTGCACAGAACTAACGCACCCCATGTGGAAGACAGAAGAGCGAGGCCAGCAGCTGGAGTTACGAAGGCTGACCGCACACGGACCCCAGGGGTTGCTGCCTGAGCTGAGTTTTGATTGCAGAAGTACCACAAATAGGGGGAGCCTGGGCAGCTCCATCAGTTGAGTGTGCAACTCTTAATTTTGGGTCAGGTCATGATCGCAGGGCTGTGAGATCAAGCCCCACGTCAGGCTCTGTGCTCAGTGCAGAGTCTGCTTGAGATCCTCACCCTCAGCTGCTCCCCACTCACACCCCCACCCACCGCAAATAAATAAATCTTTAAAAAAAGAGAGAGATGTCAGTATGTTTTAAAATAATATGGCACAATTATAAAATAAGAGCCCTCATTCTTCCTTCCTTCATTCGCTCAGTAATTACAACCAAGCCCCAACCAAGAACCTCAGGCACCTAACAGCTGGAAACGTTCATCTAGCAATCTGGTCCTCCTATTCTTTCTTCTGAAAACGGTAACTTCTGGATAGAACAAAACCTCACACCAGACTCTTTCTTTCTGGGTAACACAGAGCTTGAGACTGGAAGAGCTGAGGTCCCTGGAGCGTGGGGAGCCCTGCACCAGCCTGCTCAGAAATGCCAAATAAACCCTTCTCATTAATAACAGCGAGGGGCCCACCTTTATCAACACAAATACCAAAACAGGCACGAAGTCATCTGCTCCGGGGACGGAGTCCTCGTTGGCCAGACTCAGGAGGTTCATGATGGTGGAGCACATTCGCAGGATACACTGCACTTTGTCCCGGGGGGTCTTGTAAGCACTTATTGTCCTGATTTCCGACTGTGCAGATGGCCAAGGGGCTTCCCGAAGATAAACCTAAGTGAGACCAGAGACAGACAGGCAGATCATGAATCCAAAAGCAACCACAGGAAGCCACCACAGCAACCTGGGTGCCAGGAAGCAGGACAAGCTTGGTGCCTTTTCCTTTCTTCAGTAATGCCAGACTGCTGTTCCTTCCTCTCCCACTGAGATTAAAGCTTAACTTCTAAACTTTTAAATAATCTGCTTTGCATTTTCAAATAAAGTAACCCAGATATCCATTAATGGAAGAAAGGACATACAATAACACCAAATCCAGAATTCAAAAAATTTCAAATAATTCCTAAGTAGCTAGAATGGAAATTATCTACACGTAGTAGCTGATTCTAAAAGCCCAAACAAGCTACTTCTGAAAGAAAAAAAATTTAAAAATTTGTATATTTGTTGCAATAGCTCTAAAAATAACAGACTCAAAAAAATCAAAAAATAATTTAAAAACTCATGCTAATCAATATTTCATTAGTGGAGATTTTAATAAAACAACCAAAAAGCTCAAATACCTGAAATTTCCCTATTATTTTGTAAAAACTGGATGACCACTAAAAGGTAATTTTGACATCACATTCAGATTTAACTTCTTCCCTTAGAATTATAGTTGTCACACACTGCAGAGTGTCACCAGATCCCTTATTCAAACGGGACTTTTCTGCAGAAATAGGACTACAAAATCATCCATGGAGGGGGCACCTGAGGGGCTCAGTTGGTTTTAAGTGTCTGACTCATATTCTGGCTCAGGTCACGACGTCAGGGTTGTGAGATCAAGACCTGAGTCCGGAGCCTGTTTAAGATTCTCTCTCTCGGGGCGCCTGGGTGGCTCAGTGCGTTAAGCCTCTGCCTTCGGCTCAGGTCACAATTCCAGGGTCCTGGGATTGAGCCCCGCATCAGGCTCTCTGCTCGGCAGGGAGCCTGCTTCCTCCTCTCTCTCTGCCTACTTGTGATCTTTGTCTGTCAAATAAATAAATAAAATCTTAAAAGAAAAAAAAAAGATTCTCTTTCTCCTTCAGACCCCCTCCATCATGCTCTCTCTCTACAACAAACAAACAAAACACATCCGCGGGGAGCACTGCGGCGGGAGGCCAAGTGGCTTCGGGGGCCTCAGTGCAGCCTCCTCCTCCTCATCTCCCCACTGACATGCCGTTCCATGCCAGACAATTTTAATCCTAGACCTTTGAGAACTTTATAGTTAGAATTACATCTAATGCAAACTCTGTTTTGTAATTTACTACATTGTTTCCACGCATAGGGTATATGGACCAACTACCAGCACCGCCCAGGCCGTATACACCTACATTACCTCTGGTATCTGAAGAGCTCTGTGATTTGCGGTCACTACTTTAGACAGTCTCTGAATATGTTCATGAAGAACCCTGCAAACCCCCAAAACACAGATGTAAATACATATTTCACATAATAAGGCACATAGAGTCATAACTGATTTTCCTTCAAAACATTTAGACTTGCTTCAAGATAATAGATTACAATTACAGTTGAAGAGTATCTCTTAGCTGTAAGTATTCCGTCTTGTCAAAAAAAAGATTCACACTTAGGCTCTGCTTAGAAATGCTAAGTGAGCTGAGGGGGGGACAAGAAGAGGGAAGTCCTTCCTTCCCAGCCAAGGACAGCATTCCAAGGGACAAAGGAGAGGAGCTCCAGCCCAGAAGCCACCTGGACACACGAATCAGTACAAAGCACGAGGACGCAGAGGGATCAAAAGCCAAAAACCGAAGATCACAGAAGCTGAGAAAGAGAAGGGGCTCTTGAGAACACTCAAACTCTCTCTCATTTCATAGATGAAAATAATTGGGCTTAAAATGGTGAAGGATTTGCCCAAGGTTACACAGGGGTTAGAAGCGGGGGCTAAACCCAGTTTTCTTGGTTTCTACTGTTCTTTCCAAAACACTGTGTTAACTGTCCACTCTATAAAACCTGCAGAAGTGCTGTGGAGGAGAGCATATGAATAATCTGCTTCAAAGCTCCTCTTTGCAGTAAATACAGTGTGAATGTCCCTAACTCCTCATTCCATTCTGGAAGCCCAAAACTGGTCTCTAGGGAGAAAACAGGTCCCAGTTGGTGAATTAAATACAGAAGCCTGGGTATATCTCTGAGAGCATGAACCAGTGGGAGAGGCGGACTGGAACAATTCTAATGCATTCACAGAACATACACGCAAGATCTTAGCATTTCCATGAAAGAAACCATCTATAAACCACTCATGAGTCACCCCAAGGTCTTATCACGTGGACCCCTTGAGAGCCCCTGGCACAGTAAGCCAGTGTTACTGCGGGGGGTGGAGGGGGCAGGGCGGGAGGGGCACAGGAGACACTTTGACATGCTGGGGGCAGAAACAGGGTACAGCAGTGCTCCAGAAAATGTAAAAAAGGGAAAATGGAAAATACGAAATCATCCTCAGTCTCATTATCCAAAATATAATTTATACCCTGTTACCACTCCAGGTATTTCTTCTCAGGATTTTTTTTTAGGAATATTTTTTAAAATCAGCTTTACTGAGAACCATACATTTCCAGATATTTTTTGATATTCAAACGTAGAGCTTTTCATTCCTAATAAATAGGTATCGAGCATACAGAAGTCAAGCGCTGTGCTCGACGAGGGGAGAGCGCAGTGAACGTGAGCGGGACGCTCCTGCTCCCACCAACCGATGATGTGGCAGCGGAGGAGGGTGCTCGCCAGACGACCACACACAGCGGTGATCGAGCAGGCGGTGGCTCTGCCCCCCGGGGGACATCTGGCGGTTCTGGAGACATCCTGGTTCTCACAGCTGGAGGGTACTACTGGCACCTGGTGTGCACAGACCGGGGACGCTGCTAAGCACCCCGCAAGGCACACAGCCGCCTCCCACATAAAGGATTATCTGGTCCCAGATGTCAGTGGTGCCAGGCTGAGGAGGCCTGACGGACGCTACCAAATGTACAAGCACAACCGTGGCAAGTGCTAACGACAGGGACACAGGCCCAGGAGAGCCCTGCCAGGGGGGACCCGGTCGGAAAGGTCAGGGAGGAGGTGCCGCAGTCAAGACCCGAGGGAGGAGGAAGGAGGCGAGCACCGCTGGTGGGGAAGAGCAGCGGACAGCTCCCACCGTCCAAACAGGCCCCAGCAACCGACACGCCCGCGGGCCTCATGCCCACTGCCCTGAACAGAGCGTTATCCTTCCTTCTGCTCTTGGGATCAGATGGGTGAAAAACGGTAACACGTGCTGCCTCCACGGTCACATACTAAGTCTCAGCACAGCTTGTGTCGCACAAGGGACTGGCTGATATACCCCTATGTGATCAACGGGGACGCAGTAAACATGGCAGTGCTCACTGGTCACGCAGTATGTCACCGTCCTGGTTCGGGTAGAAAGCAAGCTTGAAAATCCGATTCATCACACTGCGCTCGATGGCCAGCTGGGCGTCCTGAAGCTGCTCCTCGCTCGCATTCTGCCATATGACGTCCTGGGCCATCGCGCCATAGAGGAACTGCAGAAAATCTTCTACCTGAGCAGTTTTATCATCAGCTGCTGTGAGTTGCTGAAAGTCTCCAATGCAAAATAATAATTTTTTAAATACACTATCTGAATAATTTTAAAAAAGGAAATTACAGAAATCATTTTAATAACTAGCTATGCAGATACTATTCTCTTAAAACCAAAAGTATCTGGAAACGGTTTATTTTAGAAGAATATGTGGCCAAATCATTAAAATCGTGAGAAAGGTTAAGAAATATGCAATGCAAAAGTAGAAGAGCAAGGGGCTTGTTATAAAAATGACATACCTGGACTAATGTATAGAATTACTGAATCACTATACGATATACCTAAAGCTAATATGACACCGTACATTAATTATAACGGTATTTTAAGTATAAATGTTAAAAAATAAAAATTTAAAAAACTTTAATGATACGCTTTATTTTTAAATATGAGAAGAATTTTGTGGATCCAAAACCTTAACCAATTTTCCCAATTTCGTATAAACTACAGGTATTCGATCCATGGTAAAAATGAAATTTACTGGTTCCACATCAAGATGATTAAGAATCCATAAAACATCTGGGAATTTAAGGGACTACTCTTAGACATGCAACTACTCAAACCAGCAATACAAAAATTTCCGAATTTCCCCACTAACACATGGCTGAAAAGATGCTTAATCTAAAGGTCTTCGGTTACCGTGAATGAATTCCCGGATCTTCTTTTCTTTGCTCTCAAGCAGCAACCTCACACAGACAGTGGTGAAGTACCGATTGGCCACCTCTTTGTCCCGCAACACCCGCTGAAGTAGCCTCTCCAGGTGGGCCTGTGTGGTCTGCAGTCCTTGCCGACAGCGAGTGAGGTAAGCAATATAGGGCGCCCTTTTCCTAAAAGGAAACGGACTTTGCAGGACATCACATACATACAGTGCACACTTTCTTAGAGACGAAGAGTCCTAATTTTTCTTAAAGAAAGAACAGGACCTCACAGACTTTGGTTTTATGAATTAGCCACATCAGGCTGCAGACAGCTGTCTTGAGGGCTAATCACGCTGGCAGCTCAAGGAACGGAACCATTCTACATGTTGGTGAAGAACACCTACGGGGTTAAACGCATAGCTGCCTAACTCACGACATGTTACTAAGTCCCCTGGCATCCTTCATCTATTTCACGTTGGCCCATGGTCTCCCTGCTGGCAGGACCTCACACTTCACAGGAAACTGATTGCTACAGAAGACTAAAACAACAAAATACAAGTTAATATGCCACTAGATCATTAAACGTATCAGCGATAATTTGCTTATACTCTAATTGTAGCGATCACTAGAGCACCCATCCCCTAAGCCTGGGGGCCTCATCGTCTCCCAGGAATCTCACTGACGTTCTTCTCCTGAAGTGTTGGCAAAGGGCAGGCAGCAGACAGGAGGCAGCAATTTTTAGGCTACACTTGTTTTCCTGCTCCAGGGAAGTAGTTTTTCTGGTCACCCCTGAGAAAAGGAGCAGGACATCCTACTGCTCCCGGCCTCACCTCTGCGAACACTGCCTCTGGGCAAAGCTGAAGGAAAGTGCACTTCTCCGTGAGAGCTGCTCATTTACAACTACATTTCCAGATAAATATCCAAATGTGTTCCTCGGAAATCTACACCCAGGTAAACACAGCCCAGGATGCTGCCGTAAGCCTAGATTCACTTGTGAAATAAAGACAGGGAAGAAGATCCTTGCCACCGGGTCACAGGTGCAGGAGGGGGGGTAGTTACCTGTAGTCCTCGGCGATAGAGGCCAGCAGTTTTCTGCAAGTTCTGTTATCAAAGCGGCACACGCAACGCATTGTTTCTTGAAGTTGAGCCATTAAGTTCTTATCTTGTAAATTAATTGCTTCAGCTATTTGAACTTTTAAGAAGCATACAATTTCATTGTCTAAACAAAAAATGAGAGAGAGAATTGTTATTGCCGACAATTTCCACTGCACGCCAGCCCTTAGCCTCTGGGATGTCCGTTCCGCTCTACCAGGGATCAGTAGAACTAAGCAGCCCTGCCCCTCACTTTAATGAAGCATCAGGAATCAAAGTGCCCTTACCTGATTCTAATACAAATATACTAATGGAACCACATGGAACTGCTACATAGCTTACATAGGTTGAATACAGGCAGTCTCACATGGTTCAACCTATAAATACAGGAAAAACCTACCCTCTGGGTCTGTATGGTCCGGTAAACCGTTCCTTGTTGAATGGGTGAGCACTGGGAAAGCAACAGAATCCGCAGAGCAAAGAGCAAGTCTCAGTTTCTTTTTTGCGTCTCTGAAGAATGAGTCAAAAGTACATTAATTTCTTCTTCTTCTTCTTTAAGATTTTGTTTATTTGAAAGAGAGAGCACAAGTGGGTCTTGATCCCAGGATGGCAGGATCACGACCCAAGCTGAAAACAGCCACCCAACTGAATGAGCCACCCAGGTGCCCCAAAAGTATGTTAATTTCTTTATGCAGAGAACGGTCACACTTTATGAACACTCACCATATAAATTAATATCCTACCTCAGGACTCAAGCGTTTCAAGAGGTCATAAATAATAGATAATTTTTTATTTACTGACTCCTCACTTAAAGGAACAGGCTTTCTAGTGACCCAAGGAGCAAGGCCAGAAATGCCCTGGGCAAGGCTCATTCTGTAAAGTCACCACAATCAGTCAAACAACAAATCCTTTGGACCTGTAACATATACTGAGTCTCTATGAGGGCACTATGAGGAGAATGCAAAAGGGGCCTTATGCCAGGGTCTGCAGGGGCCACAGAAGTCCCCAGAGCCATCTCACCACCCACACCAAGAAGGCCCTCCATCACATCTCTTGAGAAAGGCTGATCCTGCGGCAGACAAGCTCACCGCCTGACAAGAAGCCCTTCCTATCACTCTACCATTTGAAACGGAAGCTGACCCTGCCACCCGTTCAGTCTCCCCCAGCATTTCTCACGTTGCCGGGAAGCTTGGTGTGGGCAAAGGGACGACCACTTGTGTCATTTAAATCACTTGACGTGGCCCCTGCGGGCACACGAGGTGGTTGTTTTCTCATCCCTGAATTAAAGCCTTTGCGACACGGCATCCAGAGTGAAGCAGTCTTTCCGGACACAGCATTCCGTCCTTATCTCTCTGCTCTATACAGTCACCCGGTGGCCTAATGAATCATCTGACTTGAAGTGACTGCAGTGGTGATGAAAAGCCCAGAGCCTCAAATTCGAAATCCTGTCAAAGAAATACCTGTATGAGAAAGCAGAATCCTGGGGGTGGGCCGCCTGGCTCGCGGAGTCCGGGAGATCGTCGGCCGAGATGTTCTGCAGCGTCTCCTCTCGAGGAGAGTCATGGGCGCTCTCACCGTCGCCCATGACCTCTGCGCAAACCCACCCCCCAAGAGAGGACAGAAGTGGGTTAACCTGGAAGAGTCTCACACGAGGTGTTCACAGCTACTCGACCACAAATTAGCACTGTGCTTTACAGTCAGAGTTCTTCAAAAAAAGCAAGCAAGCTCGCTTAAACCAGCTGGCAGCAGATCACGGGGGCAGGTGTCACAAAGAGAATGACTTTTACCTTCTCTACCAATGTTAACCCAAGGCGAAGAAAGTCTGTGACTTAACAGAGAATGCTTTAATCAGAACCGCTGCACCACAGAACCAAGAGGGGCCTCACAAATCATCTTACGTAACCACCTCGTGTTACAGACATGGAATCCTGCCCCAGGAGAAAGCGGCCTGCTGTACAGCCCTCAGCTACCTGGCGGCCGAGGTGAACCCTGCCCTCAGCTCCCCCGGGCTCTTTACTAGGGCTGTTCCCACCGCCCAAACGATGAGCTGAGACCGACTCACAAAAGCAGCCACAACAGATCTGTGGTTCCCGCAGCTGTTTCTATGTTTTTAATTAACTAATTTAGAGAATACACTCATGTATAAAATCAAAAGGAATAAAAATTCATTACTATCATAAAGATACTGTGCTTACGTGGGACAACTATCTTTATTAGGAGATCATTTCAAATGCTTCAGGGAAAAAAAGGAAAAAATATACAGAGAAAATGCAGCCAAATGTTAAGAACTGATAAAGTCCCAGGTAGAGGGAACATGGATCTTCACTGTACTAGTCAACTCTCTGTCCTTTGAAACTTTTCAAAATAATATGTATGGGAAATTCACCTCTACTCTGGCTGTCCTTTATGCTCCCTATGAGTTCTCCCTGAAGCCAACTCACATTACCGGCCAGATTCTCCCAGGGACAGTCTATGAACATACAAGCAGAAACACGTGCAGGGCACCTGGGTGGCTCAGTGGGTTAAGCCTCTGCCTTCAGCTCAGGTCATGATCCTAGGGTTCTGGGATCGAGGCCTGCATCGAGCTCTCTGCTCGGTAGGAAGCCTGCTTCCCCCTCTCTCTCTGCCTGTTTGTGATCTCTCTCTCTCTCTGTCAAATAAATTTTAAAAAAAAATTTTTTTAAAAGAAACACGTGCAGTACACAATTTATGCTTTTATATGCTTTTCTTTCCTCTTTATTTTAGGGATTACACCGTATTTTTCTGACAGCTACTCAAAGTAGTCACTAAAAAGCTACTTCTTCCAAACACGTCTCACTGTGATACCAAAGGTAGAACACTTGACCGGGAAACACAGGTTTGAAATGTGTGGGTCCACTTATACACTTTTTTTTTTTTAAGACTTTGTTTTTAAGTATTTTCTACACTCAACGTGGGGCTTGAACTCACAATCCCAAAGTCAAGAATCACTTGCTCCTCTGATTGAACCAACCAGGCACTCCTATGTGGATTTTTTTTTTTTTAATAAAAACATGCAGTACAGTCAATGTATTTTTCTCTTATGACTTTCTTAACAACGCTGTCCTTTCTCCAGCTTACTTTATTGTAAGAACACAGTGTATAATAACATAACGTGCAAAATACATCTTAACTGACGTTCATGCTATTAAGGCTGCCAGTCAACAACACGCTATCCGTTGTTAAGTTTTTGGGGAGTCAAAAGTCACACAGAAATTTCTAACTATATGGGAGGTTGGTGCCCCTACCCACTCACCCCCACACCCCCCACTTCAGGGTCAACTGCATTCAAATCTTTATCATGATGATCACCTGTACTTTCTTTTTTTTTTTCTTTTTCTTTTTTTTTTTTTTTTAAATATGGAACGCTTCACGAATTTGCGTGTCATCCTTGCGCAGGGGCCATGCTAATCTTCTCTGTATCGTTCCAATTTTAGTATATGTGCTGCCGAAGCGAGCACTCACCTGTACTTTCATAGCTCGCCATTGCTCCTTCACTGGGGCTGGTTCGCTTAATGGCATTCCTGTATTTGTCCAGAATATCCTCAGCGGCCTGAGCTTGTGCACTGAGTCTAGGGCTGGGATCATCTGCAGGGAAAGGAGAGTGAGAGAATCAGCTCCCCTTGGTTTGTAGCAATTCTGATGTTAGTACGACACCAGTAGCATAATCCCAAAGGCGGATTAGGAGGTAAGACTTAAAAAAGAGCACATATCTCGGTGTTAAGAGGCACCATGCAGCTGCCTGCTCATCCCACTTCGCGGTCTCAGGGCTTGCCCAAGCACGGAACTGGGAGGATTAGCTCCACCTTCTCATCATTGCCAAAATTCTGCATGACAGTGTTGGGAAGCTCAGTGGAGACTACATGGGTGATGGGTTTCTAAAGCACTTCTGCTCAAGTTACTGTTATTATCAGTTCATGCTAACAGAACTTCCAACAATGCATCTTTATATGCAGATTCATGTATGCAGACATCTCTATGCTAAAGGAGGGGAAGTACCAAATTTAGAATTAAACCCTTTTAAATAATAATTATTTAAAAAAAAATGCCTTCCTCCATTCTTCCTGTATGACTCTCTCTCTACACCATATTTGACAGCTCCAGGTATCAGTACTCTGTCTTACTGAATCTCATGGTGGCAGTGCACCTGCTAGCAGAGTGCACTTTTGTGCCTGCGACGGTGTGAGAGTCACTCCGAGAGAATCTAGCCACTGCTGGAAAGTGCTGGAATTGTAGCCAGGGTACACAGAGAAAAAGTTTACCACCATCACAGATGTAGCACTGTTTACTGTCAGGACCATTATCCTGTCAGCAAAATCGGTGCCTTAAAATATGTTCCTGGAGTCTAAGATGTTAGAGTCATCAAGGCAAAGGGCTGCTACAGATCTATGGGACAAAATCAAGTTCTATAGTGAAACGCAAACTCCTGAGGGAGATGTAGACCAAGAAGGTAACCACAAGTGTCCACATTCTGGTAGAATCCCATTTTTCAGAAAGTCTAAAAACACATAAAAAAAAACCCCACTAGATTGTGTGTGTGTGTGTGTGTGTGTGTGTGTGTGTGTGTGTGTGTGTTAATAGCAACTAATAATAATGGCAGCTAACATTTACTGAGCACTTATTGAGCACTTACCACGTGCCAGGAACTGTGCTAAGCACCTTATATGAACAATCTCAATTAATCATCACAACGACCCTACAGGGAGGTACTGTTACCACCTCCATTTATGGACGAGGAAAGCAGGTACAGAGAGGTTTAGCAGTGTGCTCATGGGCTTTTCTGTTTCCATGGGGAAAAAAATTTAGTATCCATGTCTCTGTAAAACTGCAGTAAACTGTAGAGAAAGAGGATTTCCAAACTAGTTTAATCTTTCTGCCGTAATGGTATTAGAATGCATGAGAAGAGAATCCTAATAAAATCCGATCTTTAAAATGTAAACCGATAAAACTTTTCTATCATTAGAAAATCTTTCTTTGGAGGGGAAGTACTTTTTTGCTATTGGTTTTGAGTGCTGCTGAGCATTCTGAAAAAGGAATAATAAAATTTGGCTAACCATAGGGAATGCCATAACGTTGCTTACAACCTTTATTTCTAAGCCATTAATAATTTTATCCCAGAAAAGTAATGAAAACAAAATATGCTATATATACGAAGCTGTGAGCAATATTTTCATCATAAAAAAACTGGATACAATTCAAGTATCCAAAAGCAAGAAAACGTTCACAATGTTATCAAATCATATGACAGGTTATTTGTGAGCCAATACAAATTATTAAAACCAACCATGTCTACTAGAAACTGGAGAGGGTTTATGAACTAACATTTAGTAAAAGAAGAATATAAAATTACACAATATTCTAATTCAATCATGAAAAAGCCATGTACTGATATGGAAAGATTGGGAAAGAACATGAAAAAAAGGATAGGGTGACTGCATTATGGACAGACTGTTAAGAAATTTCCTTTCATATCACTTAAAAGTTGATTTAATGATAATCTCCAACAAGTCATTAATTAGGACTGGGCAGAAATTTCTGCACTAGTAGGGAAGCTAAATTGCCTGAATCAAACACAAAGAAAATGAAATAAATACCTTATGAAAAAAACTTACTCTCCTTAGCTCCTAGATTAGGCACCAAGAACCAAGAAAAACGTTTGCCCAAAGACGCAAGCAAAAAATTAATTTATAACTTCCCCAATTATTAATTTAACATTTAAAAAACACGAGATTTCCTTAAGAGTATTTCACTCCATAAACACCGGTGAACTCATAAACACTAGGAATGTGGTATATGTTTCCAAGTCTTCTCAATCAGACCGTAGGCTCCTGAAGAAGAGGGGTCATGTGATTTGACTGAATAACCACAACACTTAGCACAGTGCCTGGCATGAGTCAGATGTTCAACAAGTATTTGCTGACTGAGTAAGATAGGCTTGACCGCTCTCAGCAGGGAAGGCTGGCCTGGACACAGCTCCTGCTCTTCAAAACCCTTCATTCCAGGAGAGTCACGGCACCAGACAAAGCAGGGATGTATGCTAGAGACCATGGAAATATATCCAAATACATGCAAGCAGATACCAGAATAACATGCATTAAAATGGGATTCTACCTGTACTACGCTGAGCTATTTGAGAATGTTTTTTGGAAACCTATAGCATTTTTTAATAAAAATCTTCATTTTAATGTAGTAGGATAACATAGTTGAAAATCAAGATAAGAAAAAAAGAGGTGAGAAATTAATTTCCAGTCTAGATGCTCTACAGCCATCGGAAACAGTACAAAGCTACCCAACTCAAGGTGGGGTCACTAACACTACTTCTCAAACTCATTCCTATAAGGATACTCATCCATAATGTGCCAAACAGAAGCCGCAAAAACACAAATGCTGAGTAAGGTAAGAACCCAATCCCTAGTTGTGTCTTCCTTGGGTCAGATAGCAATGGTAAAATGATTCAAGCCGTAAAAAATTAGTGAAGTATATAAATTTATGATACTGTTTGAACACTTTATCACAAAAAAAGGAAATGATTAGGTAGAACGGAATTTCACTGTGATCCTGAATAATCAAGAACTACAGAAGGGAATAAATTTAGAATTCTATGACCAATGCGAGAGAAAGCTATCTGACCAATGATCCAAAGATGGGGCATGCATCGCACTAAAACCATCACCACACCTCCCTAAGAGGCACCGTGTGGCATGGTCCCACTGGGACTTCGAGTTGTAGGGTGTGCCTAAAGGCTCAGCAGCGGGGGCCTCATCAGAAACAGAAGTTATGATAATGAGGATGAGGATGGCGGTGGCAGTCTGTAGGAAGAGCACACGGAGGTTCCCTGTGGCCACCACCGGGAAGCCACAGAGCTATGAAGAACACACTCCCCACTGCACACACACAAACACACTCTTCTAAAAAGGCAGCGCTTACGGCGCCCAAGAAACAGTGCTATGAAATATGTGCTCTGGGAATGAAGGAGCCAGGAAGTCCACGGTCTACAAACCTGTGAGTGTTGAGAATCTGTCAGGCCCCACATCATCTTTGTCTTTTTCTTGTTTTTCTTTCTTTCTAAATGGTATAGGAGCTGGAAATTAAATAAAGTCAGTAGCGTGACACATAACATACTGCACTACTCGGAAGACAGCATTAACTGGTGTGCCGACATTTCTAAGTGAAAGGAAGGTGAAAAGTTTAAAAGCTAAGAAATCCTGAGTGTCAACGGATAACCATTCTTAAAACAGCACTGAAGGTTCTTAAAGAAGCTCTCAGGATCTGCTCTGGGGTCACCGGCCATAGGAAGAATGATTTAATTCGAATCTGTTGGGACTCAGTCAAAATCACGGCCTCTTCACCTCTGCTGGAAAACACCACATTCAAAGCTCAATCTCTCATCAAGGGGGCTTGAGTGCAGCTGAAAGCAGTGCCCCTCAGCTCCCGAGCGCCACGGTGCCGAGAAGAGGCCTTTGGGAGAAGTCCCCAGCCTTGCTCCTAGATGATCTCTCCTTGCAGGAAGAGATGCTTTTGCCAACTCAAATCTCAGTATCTACTGCTACAATGCCAGGCTATTCACCGACCCCCCCCCCCAAAAGCAAACAATTTTAAACAACTGCCTTCCAAAATAAACACTCACTAATATTCAAGATAAAAACATTCTCAATGAACACAAAAAGTTAAGTTTACTCCAGGAATGTAAAGGATGAATTTTCAATGTTTAATTACCAACAGCATCCCTTTTTCCTGCAGTAATTATTAGCAATTAGTCAGAAGTCCCACGTTTACTCTTAATGGCGTATGATATTTAAACAACCATGACCTGCCTGATTTCCATTTATGAAGCCACTAACACTTCCTGCAAAGAACAAGAACTATCATTTCTAAAGGTCTGCCTTTAGCATTCACCTGAGTGAAACCATTTTCTATGCTCTCAAAACGGCTACAAACTTAGGCCCAGCAAACCTCAAATGATACTGGCTCTCTGGAAGAGATTTGGGGGCTTTGCTTCTCGTTGCTAGTATAACTCTAATATTTTATAAAATTACCTTTAGGCATGGCAGAAACAAAACGTTTTCTCCACCAAGGTCTGTTCCTGTCTGATTTCTCATCATCGCTATCTTTGCGTTCTTCAGTCTGTAGAAAAAGTTTGATGCTTTATTTGGAGTTGGACAGCAGGATAAATTACTAGGGAAAGGATTTCAGTTTGTCTGTGAAAATCAAAAACCACTCTTGTCTTAAAAGAAAAACTGTTCTTATTGCTGTACAGGAAACTTCTGAAACATGGAAGTATACCTTTTAGGCACCAGACTGTGATCTGCTTGAGGGTGGGTACTATCACATTAAACCAAATCGCAAGTAAACCAAAACCTTAACACAGAGCCTAGCACAGAGTAGGCACTCAATAAACACTTCTGAAAGAGTAAGCTCAATCACATGAAGTCTAGAGGGGTAGCAGAGATGAGACAGTAGTAGTAATAACAAAACTGAGTATGGACTGTGTGCCAAATACCGAATGCTGAGGATACATGTTATTTCATTTAAACCTCACAGTAGCCTTAGGAGATAAATAATACTATTAAGTCCTTTTATAGACGTGAAATAAGGGGCTAAAAAAAGCTATCTCCCTATCTGCCCCAAAGTTCTATAGCCTGCCTGTCGCAGAGTTGGGACTCAAACCCAGATGCAGACAACTTCACAGTTCATGTTTTGATCTCCGATTAGAGTGAGTTATTAAAATCATATGTCAGGGGCGCCTGGGCGGCTCAGTTGGTTAAACGTCCGCCTTCAGCGCAGGTCATGACCCCAGGTCCTGGGAAGTCCCACATCGGGCTCCCTGCTCAGCGAAGAGCCTCCTTCTCCCTCTCCCTCTGCCTGCCATTCTGCCTACTTGTGCTATCTCTGTCGAATAAATAAATTAAATCTTAAAAAAAAAAAAAATTAGGGGTGCCTGGGTGGCTCAGTGGGTTGGGCCTCTATGTTCAGTTCAGGTCATGATCTCAGGGTCGTGGGATTGAGCCCCACGTTGGGCTCTCTGCTTGGTGGGGAGCCTGCTTCCCCCTCTCTCTGCCTGCCTGCCTCTCTGCCTACTTGTGATCTCTGTCAAATAAATAAATAAAATCTTAAAAAAAAAAAATCACACATCAAAGAGCTGAGACTATAGTTCCTTTACTAGCCTATCAAGTGACCTCAGACAAATCACTTAATTACTCATCTTGGAAACTGTGAGGTTTAAATGAAATTAGATACAAAACTGCTTGGAGAAAAGTTCAAAGTGTCATAAAAATGCAAAATACATTATAAAACCAAAATAGTATAGGTTTCCCATAGGTTACCACTGGGGACAAACTAGACTGACAGATCATCTTTAATCATGACTGCTGTCCATCCTTACTCTGAGATTTATATATACCGTGTTAATCTAACATATCAAGAGAACCTGGCAGATAGAACATTAAAGCTGACCACAACCAGCAAAATTCTTCTAGATGGCCTATGTCCCGTACCTCTCCTCTTGAGGAGTCCTTACTCGGGGATGAAGATGATGAGTGAGGTGCAGCCACCAAAGAAGTAGCACCAGTGGCTGCGGCTGGAGGGAGTTCTCGCTCTTCATTCCCTGGACGACGGTTCCAGCTGGGGTCACTCATGGGTCGCCGGACAGATGATACTATATCAGAGCTCCTGCTGCGAACTAATCTCTCTGGGTAAGAATGCCTTTGCTTGAATGCCTCCATTTCAGCTGGAGTTAACATATGGGAACCAAAGTTCGGCAACCTGGCCTCATTTCCTCCCACAGCTCCTTCCAGGATTGGGGGATCTGGTGGTGGATGCGACGGCCTGGCATAATGAACCTTTGGCCTTACCACAGCAGAAGCTCCTAGAACACGGGAAAAGAAGTTTGCAACTGAGATACAACTGATTCAACAAAGGCATCAACAAAGGGTTTTGGTTCTGTTCTTCTGCCCAGGGTAAGAGTCATAAAGCTCATTTGACTAGTTTACCTTCATGTGAAGACAGCGGATCAAACATGGCAAGTACAGACTCGGACTGAGAAGGAGGAGAGGTCAGCTGGTGGGCGCCTAAAATAAATAGGCAAACTCTAAGACCAAATCAGAACTCATCACTCAGTAAGAGTTTCTACACAGTGAAAAAAGTTCTAGCATTCTTCCAGTTTTCCTTTTTTTTTTTCTTTTAAGATTTATTATTTAAGATAGTGCACAGTGGGGAAGGGGTAGAGGGGGAGAGAGAGGGAGAGAATCCCTAGCAGACTCCATACCCAGTGCAAGCCCCATGCAGGGCTTGATCTCACGACCCTGAGATCACAATGTGGGCTGAAATCAAGAGTCGGATGCTCAACTGAGTGACCCAGGGGCTCCCCCCAATTTTCCTTTTCTGATCAACAGAACTTGAGGGGCATGTCAGAAAAAAAGAGAATCTAACAAATATCATATTCTGATTACTTCAAATTCATGGTATGTTTTTACCTACATACGTGGATTTTAATGACACTTAAGTGGTCTAGCATTGCATGTTAATCGGTTTTTTTTTGTTTTTGTTTTTGTTTTTATTTATTTATTTGACAGATCACAAGTAGGCAGAGAGGCAGGCAGAGAGAGACAGGAGGAGGAGGCAGGCTCCCTGCTGAGCAGAGAGCCCAATGCAGGACTCGATCCCAGGACCCTGAGATCATGACCTGAGCTGAAGGCAGAGGCTTTAACCACTGAGCCACCCAGGCATCCCATGTTAATCGGTTTTAATGGCCAAATTGTATTATAGTTAATGCAGAGCCAAAATATGTAGATCATCAAAATTTTCAGAATGTCACAACTGCCCTGAGGCTCACCTTCTTTCCAACTATAAAAATAATGACACAAAAATAATAATAAGAAGAAGAAGAAGAAGAAGAAGGGCAGGGGTGCCTGGGTGGCTCAGTCAATGAAGCATCTGCCTTCGGCTCAGGTCATAATCCCCAGGTCCTAGGATTGAGCCCCAACTCAAAACTGCTTCACCCTCTTGTCACTCCCCCTGCTTGTGCTCTCTCTTTCTCACTCTCAAATAAACAAAATCTTTAACAATAATAATAATAATAATAAGGGCAATATTACCTAGAAGGAGTATATGTGCTCGCTTCGGCAGCACATATACCTAGAAGGAGTATAAATAAAAAGTTGTAGAATTTGAAATTCTTTTTTTTTTTTTAAGATTTTATTTATTTATTTGACAGAGATCACAAGTAGGCAGAGAGGCAGGCAGAGAGAGAGGAAGAAGCAGGCTCCCTGCTGAGCAGAGAGCCCGATGCGGGGCTCGATCCCAGGACCCTGAGATCGTGACCTGAGCTGAAGGCAGAGGCTTTAACCCACTGAGCCACCCAGGCGCCCCGAATTTGAAATTCCTATACTGCTCTAGGCAAATGAAATTTATAAAAGTACTTCTAACAAAAATGACTAATACTATACTACATCATAAAACAGACTTGAACTACTCTCAGCTATGGAGTAAAAATGACTCCTCTAAGCATATGTCTACACAAATAAAATCAGAAATATTAAAACAGGTAAGTTTGCAGAGGATAAAACTTTCAGATATATAAAAAAAACTGTTCATCGAGGGGTGCCCGGGGCGGGGGTTCAGTCAGTTAAACATCCAACTCTTGATTTCAGCTCAGGTCATGATTTCAGGATTGTGAGACTGAGCCTCACTTAAGATTCTCTCTCTCCCTTTGCCCCTCCCCACCTCACCCCCAGCCCACACCCGCCATCAAGGGTGCTCTCTCCTAAAAAAAAAAAAAGAAACTGTTACTCTAAACTTTTTGAGTCTGAACTCTTTAATGCTAATTAATGGCAGTTCTTTGATTTTATGCTTTTTGATTTTTCTTTCGTTCTATATATTTACCTTCCTCTATTCAAATTATAAAAATAGTACATTATTATGAAAGATAGCTTAGAATATCAGTTTTAAAATTTTGGTCTTAAGACACTTCTATATTCTTAAAAATTACTGCTCTGAAGAGCCTATACATGTTGGTTATATCTACCAATACTTACCATATCATAAATTAAAACTGAAAACAAATATGTATTTATATACTAATTCATTTAAATACATCTGTTAAATGGTAATACAAATAACCCTTTTAAATGAAAAAATAACTATTTTTCAAAATAAAAAAATAACAAGTAGAGTGACACTGTTTTAAATTTTTACAAATTCGTTTAATGAACAGAGCTGGATTCTCATATGAGCTTCTGCTTTCAATCTGTTGCAATACGTATTTTGACTGAAGTATATAAAGCTGGCCTTACACAGATATATAGTTAGAAAAGGGAAGATATTTTAATAGCCTTCTCAGATAACCGTGCACATTCTTCTATGATACGACACCGAATCTTGATTAGTAGTTTTTAAAGGTTAGCTACAATTAAGAATCGGAAACCAAATCAATGAACTTTTGCTCTGTTACATTAAAATAAATTGGTCTGTCTTCTACTTTAAATGATATCTATAACATCATGCATTGATCACCTGGAAAATACTGATTCAATTAGATACGTAGATCTTCACATGTTGTCACATTTCAATATATAATATCAAAAAATTACATTCTCATCAGGAAAAAAACACCAATCTCATCAGAAAAGTCTTTAAATATCAGTAAGCTGTCAAGCTCATGAAGGTGGATACAAATTTTCTGCAATTGTCATTTTTATCTGAAAGCCTGAATTTTATCACTGGCAATAAACACTGCCAGTTGTTTTCCTTGAAGTGATAGGCTCCCTTGTTTAATTTTCAAGAAATGCCTGCCAAATACCCAAATATGAGTAACTACAGTTTGTCAGTCCTTCTTTGAAGTAAAAATGGTGTGTCATGAAAGACAAACAAGAGAAGAAACAGCTAGTTAAGCTCACAGCTCCGATAAGCATCTAAGTGTTTCTCCTTGAGATACTTCGAGTTTCAGACTGCAGCAGAAATGCATTAGGTGGGGGCCCCTGGGTGGCTCAATGGGTTAAAGCCTCTGCCTTCGGCTCGGGTCATGATTGGGCTCTCTGCTCAGCGAGGAGCCTGCTTCCCCCTCTCTCTGCCTGCCTCTCTGCCTACTTGTGTTCTCTGTCAAATAAATAAAAACAAAATCTAAAAAAGGAGAAAGAAATGCATTACGACTATTTCCTATTTCTCCAGAATTTTAAACAGATGTGTACTCAGGGTTCATATGTGATTAAATAATTTTTACTGCTTCATGAAAGATACTCATATGTAAAACTTTCTTTTTTAACTGGGAGAGAATATAGTGACTGCTCTCTCTGCTTCATGCTCAGGCCTGCCCCAGCCAATCTACCCACCTCTCCTTGTGCCCCATCAGTGCAAATGTCAGTACAATGAAAAGGACAATAACCTTTTACTACTATGAAAAGAGTTTTGTGGGGCGCCTGGGTGGCTCAGCGGGTTAAAGCCTCTGCCTTCAGCTCAGGTCATGATCTCAGGGTCCTGGGATCGAGCCCCACGTCAGGCTCTCTGCTCAGCAGGGAGCCTGCTTCCCCTATCCTCTGCCTCTCTGCCTACTTGTGATCTCTCTCTCTCTCTCTGTGTCAAATAAATAAATAAAATCTTTAAAAAAAAAAAAAAAAAGAAAGAAAGAAAGAAAGAAAATAGTTTTGGCCTCATTACCCCTCACTTCCCAAAAGGGTCTTAAGGTTAGTGGTCCATGGAGACTATAACTCTGAAAACTCCTTATTTAGAACAGTGGTTCTCAAATGGGACTATTTTGTTCCCCAAGGGATCATTTGCCAGACACTTCTGGTTTTCACAACTGCAGGGGAAGAAGGAGGGTGCTATGCTCCTGGTAGAGGCCAGAGATGACACTAACCAGCCTATAAGACACTGAAAAGGTTTCCATAACAAAGAACCACCTGGTCGGAAATGTTAATACTGCTGAGGATGAGAAATCTTGGTTTAGAACAAAAACCATTTTTTAGGGTCCCCTGGGTGGCTCAGTGGGTTAAAGCCTCTGCCTTCGGCTCAGGTCATGATCCCAGGGTCCTGGGATGGAGCTCCGCATGAGACTCTCTGCTCAGCGGGGAGCCTGCTTCCCCATCTCACTCTCTGCCTGCCTCTCTGCCTGCTTGTGATCTCTGTCTGTCAAATAAATAAATAAAATCTTTAAAAAACAAAACAAAACCCATTTTTTATGAGAAAGAAAAAGTATCTAAAACTCAGCACATAAAACCACTGCCAGCATTCTGGTATTTCTTTCCTGTGCTTTCTCTATGATAGGTCTTTTATCTATTTTTTAATTTTTTAAAAAGATTTTATTTATTCATTTGATAGACACAGCGAGAGAAGGAACACAAGCAGGAGGAGTGGGAAACGGGGAGAAGCAGGCTTCCCGCTGAGCAGGGAGCCCAATGTGGGCTCCATCCCAGGACCTTGGGATCATGACCTGAGCCGAAGGCAGACACTAAGCGACTGAGCCACCAAGCGCCCCTGATAGGTTTTTTAGTGTTTTATTATATTACATATGAAATTCTTCAGCATAGATTTCCCAAGAGATACTATGTTCTAGCATTTCTAGAGTTTCAAGTCATTTCATGTGCTTTAAAGGATTTTAAAAAAACATCCACAAAACAAAAACAAAACAGCCACATAAATTATAAGTGGGTACATCAAAATTCACTCAGCAATTCTATTTTTTAATCCTTAGGTTGTTTCTCATTTTCTGCCAATAGGGAAGCTATGAAGAACATCAATGTAAATGCTACAAAGAACGTAAGACCTTCTGCATACACAGAACTGTTTCCTGATGACTGATTCCTAAAGTAGGCTAACTGAACCAAATTTAGTTTGTGAATTTCCTTTCTTTTAGGGCCTGAACTCATGACCCTAGATCAAGACCTGAGCTGAGACCAAGAGTTGGATGTTAACCAACTGAGCCACCAGGCACCCCTGGTTTATGAATTTTCAAGGCCGTACATATGCACTGCCAAATTATACCCCAAAGTGCTCTACCAACTGATATTATCACCAGCAAAATTACAAGACTGCCAGTTTGAATGTGATCATTTTTAAGTCGTTCTCCTTTCCCCTTCTTACCATGAGTTACTTCATCCATGTCTGGACTAGTGACAGAATCTTTACCCCCAAAATCAGAGCTGCACTCGGATCTCAGGTCTTCAATCTTATTGGGAATATCCTCAGAGGTTGCACTTATGCCTTTAAATAAATAAATAAAGTAAAAAATAAACAGCAAGAAGAACAAAATAACCACACGAAAAGTATATGAAGTTTGGAGAAATGTAAATATTCTCAAAATTTTTATGTCCCAGTGCTATACGTGCAAGATGTCTGGTATCAGATCCTTTATTGTACAACTGCCTACATATGCTTACCTTGATTTGTACAACACAATCACAAGTATCATGTGGTATCTAAATACAGTAGCAGAGGCCACCAAGAACAGAATTAGGGAACACACACAGACTGTTTGCCAATTACTTCAAGAGGCTCTATAAAGCCACACGTTAAGTTCTTAGAGATTTAAGGTTCCATGGAAATAATTTTGTTTCCTGGAATATTCCTCAACTCTTAAATAAAACATATCTCTTTGTTATCAATTTTATAAATGGAGAGGTGGGAACACACCTTGCAATCCTTATTCCTTAAAACAAGACAGACATACCCGACACAACACTGAGGCCTGGTGTGCTGGGGCGGGAACTGACCTCCCTGACATCTGTATCATCAGACGTGCTACCTAGTCCAGAGCAGCTCTCCAGCTCTTGTAGACGCTCCTCCTGCTTTAGATCCGGGGCCTCTAAACAGAAGACATGAGGTGCCACATTAGTGATTCTGTTAGCATGCCACAGTTTCAGCTTGTGACCCACATGAGGGAAGCTACCAGAATGTGAATGAAATCATTGTAAACAGATTTCTAAGTCTGGGCCAGTTAGCAAAGTTGGTTAGATCGAGTGTTAAAGAAGCTGAGGTTGTGATTTTCATTCCAGTATAGGCCAGTTGTTGTGCAAAGGTGGAGACTCTGCCTGTAGATCACTAATCTCATAAAAATATGCTATTGGTTAAGAAGTAAACTCCGTAAGAGAATATAAAATAGCTTAACATTAAACCAAACATTTTCTAAAAAATAACTTCTATGGGCACTCAATAGACAGTAAGCTAATCCTACTGTCTCCTTATGTAAAGGGCAGCATATCTGAGTCCATTAATACTATAAAACATATCAGAATCACTTAATTATTCTTGAGCCAAGTAAATCAGATAGAATGTTATTCAGACATACAGTTACTTAAATTTGCATTCTGGTAGTTGACATTTCATTGAAAGTAAAGTTTTATCTTCATAATCAGAATACAAAAAAAAGGAGAAATGTAATTTTTAAGAAAAAAGAAAGTATAAAACACTTTATATACATTTATAATAATCCTGTACAAAATAATTCTCAAGACTCGAGAGTCTCAATTTCAGTACATTTCAAAAATATATTAGCTATCTTTTAAAGGGTCAAGTTCTCTCTGGGATGAATCTAGGCATGCTTACCAAGCATCTAACCGCTCAGGGTTCAAGTTGTACTGCTATTCCTATTTTGTAATGAGTTAGTGGGAGATACTG